TTGTTTTGTTGACGTTGAGGGAGAGGTTATTTTCCTGGCACCACTCCACCAGGGCCCTCACCTCTAAGCTGTCTCGTCATTGTTGGTAATCAGTCCTACTACTGTTGTGTCATCTGCAAACTTGATGATTGAGTTGGAGGCGTGCGTGGCCACGTAGTCATGGATGAATAGGGAGTACTGGAGGGGGCTGAGCACGCACCCTTGTGTGGCCCCTGTGTTGAGGATCAGCGTAGTGGAGGTGTTGTTTCCTACCTTCACCACCTGGGGGTGGCCCGTCAGAAAGTCCAGGACCCAGTTGCACAGGGCGGGGCTTAGACCCAGGGCCCCAAGCTTAATGGAGCTTGGAGGGTAATATGGTTTGAATGCTGAGCTTTAGTCAATGAACAGCATTCGTACACAGTTATTCCTCTTGTCCATATTTACATTTTAGTCATTTAGCAGACGCTCTTATCCAGAGCGACTTACAGGAGCAATTAGGGTTAAGTGCCTTGCTCAAGGGCACATCGACAGATTTTTCACCTAGTCGGCTCGGGGATTAGAACCAGCGACCTTTCGGTTACTGGCACAACGCTCTTAACCACTAAGCTACCTGCCGCCCTATGGGCAAGTATGTGCAGTGCGATTGCATTGTCTGTGGATCTATTGGGGCAGTATCCAAATTGAAGTGGGTCTAGGGTGTCAAGTAAGATGGAGGTGATATGATCCTTAACCAGTCTCTCAAATCACTTCATGATGACAGAAGTGAGTGCTACGGGCGACAGTCATTTAGTTCAGTTACCTTTGCTTTCTTGGGTACAGGAACAATGGTGGACATCTTGAAGCAAGTGGGGACAGCAGACTGGGATAGGGAGAGATTGAATATGTCGGTAAACACTCCAGCCAGCTGGTCTGCTCATGCTCTGAGGACGCGGTTAGGGATGTTGTCTGGGCCAGCAGCCTTGCGAGGGTTAACACGCTTAAATGTCTTACTCACGTCGGCCACGGAGAATGAGAGCCCATAGTCCTTGGGAGCGGGCCGTGTCGGTGGCACTGTGTTATCCTCAAAGCGGGCGAAGAAGGTGTTTAGATTGTCCAGGAGCAAGACGTCGGTGTACCCGACTTGGCTAGTTTTCCCTTTGTATTCCGTGATAGTCTGGAGTCCCTGCCACATACATCTCGTGTCTGAGCCATTGAATTGCGACTCCACTTTTTCACTGTACTGACGTTTTGCCTGTTTGATTGCCTTACGGAGGGCATAACTGCACTGTTTGTATTCAACCATATTTCCAGTCACCTTGCCGTGGTTAAATGTGGTGGTTTGTGCTTTTAGTTTTGCGTGACTGTTGCCATCAACAGTTTTTGGTTTGGGTAGGTTTTAATAGTCACAGTGGGAACAACATCCTCTATACACTTCCTGATGAACTCAGTCATCGTGTCCGTGTATATGTCAATGTTGTTCTCAGAGGCAACCAGAACATCCCCAGCCGGAAGCCAGCTCCTCTCCTCAGGACCATACCCCTCCCAGTCCACCAGGTAACGGAGTCGTCCCCCACCTGGAGTCCAGCAGGTTCCTCACCACATACGCCGGACTCCCATCAATGTCCAGGGACAGAGGGGCGTACCCCGGGGGACGGCATCCACCAGAGGACCAGGAACCATGGCCTGAGGAGAGACACATGAAATGTAGGTGAGACACGGTAGTGAGGGGGAAGGAGCAGCCGGTTCGATACCTTATTTATCCGACGGAGGACCTTAAACAGCCCCACAAACCAGGGGCTCAGTTTCTTGCAGGGCAGGCAAAGAGGGAGGTTTTTTGTGGACAGCCAGACACGATCACCAGGCTGGAATATGGGGGCCTCACTGCGGTGGCGGTCGGCTTGGTCCTCCTGCCGACGAATTGTCATCTGGAGATGGACATGGGCGGTTTCCCAGACCTGTCCGGCCCTGCGGAACCACTCTTTGACAGCGGGCGCATCGGTCTGGCTGGGTGTCCGAGGGGCCAGGTCCGGCTGGTACCCCAGGACGCACTGGAAGGGAGTGAGCCCCGTGGAGGAGTGAACAAGGGAGTTCTGGGCATATTCTGCCCAGGGTAGAAACCTCGCCCACTCACCCTGCCGGTCCTGACAGCGGCAACAAAGAAACCTCCCCAGCTCCTGGTTCATGTGCTCCACCTGCCTATTCGACTGAGGCCTATACCCGGAAGTGAGGCTGGCCGTCGCCCCGATCTTCTCCAGGAAAGCCTTCCACACTCGGGAGGTGAATTGGGGGCCACGGTCCGAGACGATGTCCTCCGGAAGTCCATAATGCCGGAAGACCTGTTGGAACAGGACCTCAGCGACCTGGAGAGCAGAAGGAAGAGTGCGTCAGCTTTCACATTCTGGAATCCTGGGCGATAGGACAGAATAAACTGAAAGCGAGTAAGAAATTGGGCCCACCTGGCTTGACAATAGTTCATCTGTTTCGCTGCCCGTATGTGCTCCAAATTCCGGTGGTCGGTGAGAATCCGGAATGGATGGACTGCACCCTCCAGCTAGTGTCTCCATTCCTCCAGAGTGAAGACCACCGCCAACAGCTCCCTGTCTCCAACTCCATAGTTCCCCTCTGCGGGGGTAAGCTTTTTTGAGAAAAAGGCACAGGGATACATTTTCTCTGGCTTACCTTACCGCTGGGAGAGGACCCCACCCACGCCCTCCTCAGATGTGTCTACCTCCTGGATGAAAGGACGAGCTGGATCTGGTGTTTTAGGAAGGGCGCTGTGGTGAACCTTTCCGTCAGCCTCTTGAAGGCACTGGTCTCTCAACATGTCGTCAAGACAAATGGACGTGGCGATGAGGGTATCAAGGTCCATCTCGTCGTCCCAACATGCGAGTTCCGTTGTGATGTCCTCTTGTGAGCCTCTCCAGAAGGCCGTGCGCAGAGCACGCTCATTCCAGCCGGAAGACGCCGCCACCGTGCGAATGCTCAGGGCGTACTCGCACACGGCCCCCTCTCCCTGTTGTAGCCGGAGGAGACGCTCACCCCGTCCTTTCCCTCCGTGGGATGATCGAACACCGCCCTGAACCGAGCAAGAAGGTGGAGTAGGGAAGCGCCACGGCCTCACCGCCTTCCCAGACTGCCGTGGCGAATCAGAGGAGGAGGAGACGTGACAAAAACACATACAGTATAAATCAAAAGTTACGCCAATTAAGTAATCATTAAAATAATTGGCAACATCAAATGGTTTTGTGATTAATAAGCCATCTGATTCGATGAAAGATTGAGTTGAATTTGTCTTTCTGCCCATAATTTCATTTAAAGTACTCAAAGTTTTTTTTCCCATCATTCTCAGAGCATTTCGTATTATTCTGTAAGTAATAATAATAATAATAATATGCCATTTAGCAGACGCTTTTATCCAAAGCGACTTACAGTCATGCGTGCATACATTTTTGTGTATGGGTGGTCCCGGGGTTCGAACCCACTACCCTGGCATTACAAGCGCCGTGCTCTACCAGCTGAGACATTCCATTTAGTATGGTATGTTACGTTTCCTACGGTATGTATTAATTTCTTGATATCCATCACCCATTTCGTATGATCCGTTTAATTACAATTCGTATTATATGTTATAAATTTGTAAAATGTACAATATGTGACGAATTTGCTAAATGAATGATGTGTTACAAATTCTAGCTAGGTAGCTTATGTTAGCTAGATCGCTAATGTTAGCTAGATTAGAAGTTAGGGTTAAGGTTAGGGTTAAGTTTAGGAGTTAGGTTAAAGGGTTAGCTAAAAGGGTTAAGGTTAGGGTTAGGGGAATGGTTAGCTAACATGCTAAGTAGTCGCAAAGTAGCTAAAAAGTATGAAGTAGTTGAAAAATTGCTAAAATGCTAAAGTTTATTTGAACTGGCAATCTTTGGGTTCGTTCGTTTTTTCCTTAAGTAACCATCTGTCTTATGTAACCATACCAAATGTAACCAAATGTGTCTCGGATTTACGTACAGAATAATACGAAATGCTCTGAGACCAGGCTGGTGATGATCGTGATGCGCTTTACAAATTTGACAGTCACAAGATGGGACTTCAAATAGGCCTATGCGGTCGCGACCGGTCATTCAGAGCAGGTGGGGCAGAGCTGTTTAGATTTTTTGGGGGGGTTGCTTGTTTTGCATGTTATTTTGGCATTAATGTGTGTAACATATCAGTTTGCAAACAATGTAAAAAATAAATAAAAAAATTGAGATAATAAAGCCACATACAAACATGGTCTCTTTTTAGCTCCAAAATGAAGGTGTTTCAGCCTAGCTCAGTGCTTTCTGTGGTGGTGGGGCAGCCAGCTTAAAATACAGAGTGTAGGGGTTGGTCAATTTCTCTAGTTGCGCCGTAATTCGCTCAGTGTTCTGTCACTCATGGGGACACTACGTCACCGCAAAATCTACGGGGAGAGCTTGAAAATTCAAGCCCCTTGGGTGCTGCCATAGAGTTACATTAGAAGTGTCCATCCAAGAAGGCTCAAGGTCATTGGCAACAGATAAAATGACGTCAAATCACTTTATATCTACAGCAGCTTTGATTAGACTGATGATGTCAACATCATACCTTCAAAATGTTAGCTAGCAAGCATCATCATGAATCAAGTCGGCAATCTACTGGCAAATCCTTTTCAATCCTTGTCATATGAAGAGAAATTATGAAGAGAAATTATAGATAAATGTGTCGGTGCTCATCGGCCATTGGACGTAAACATTACACAACAAGTTGGAAATCATTCTGCCGTCTTTGACTGTAGCCTATAGCACATTTTCTATATTTGCGGGTTAGGGTCGGGTGGTGGCCTCAGATTTTTCTTTTATCACATATAGTCAGGCGGTTGAGGATGGGTTATTGGCAATTGCGGGCGGGTGCCGGTGAACAAACAGCTGACCCGTGCAAGTGTAGCTTACATCTGTGCCATACAGACTGTGTGTCATGCTGACTGTCTGTGCCTGTCTCTCTGTGCCTGTGTCTGTGTGTGTGCCATGTTGACTGTGTGTCATGCAAACATGGTGCGTGAAGAGATGCTGAGGTTTGCGCTGCAGAAGAGGGGGCCACTGCACCCGGCGGGGAACGTGTTTGTGTGGGTAGAACGTCTGTTGAGCCGCTCCCTACTGGACGACGCACACATCCGGGCCAGCGGACGCCTCGCCGTTGTCATTACGCGCATCCCAGATGGACAGAACACTGTGGTGTCAGAGTTCACGTCCCGAGAGGATGTTGTGCAGGTGTTTGGGCGAGAGTTCCGTGCGTGTGTGCTTTGCTATAGACTATTACTTTGAGAAAGATAATATTTTTTATGTAAATCTCAGTTGAACTAGATAGAAGTATCAACATGTGAAGAACTTGTTCATACTGACTGTATATTAGGCAGTGATGTTTAACTGCATTTCTCTTTTCCCCACATGGAGGCGTTGTTGTGCAGCTGCTTTATCCCTGGGTACCATGGTATACAGCCACCATCTTACAAAGGAGTGGTGAGTGCTCACACTGCTCACTGTCTGTAGGCTAATAATAATCCTAATATACTTTCACTTAATGCACACCCTCAAACACCTTTACACCTGTATGCAAGACATACACACTCCAGTCAGGCTATCAGCAAATGTTTTAAAATGTTGTGGTAGCCCTGAACTAACACACCTGATTCAAGTAGTCAAGGGCTTGATGATTAGTTGACAAGTTGAATCAGGTGTGCTAGCTCTGGACTAGGAAAAGAATGCTATAAAAGCTGTTGTCCCACAGCATTATGTGGACGGTGGTTTGTCCAGTATCCAGCCAACCCACTCCTCTCCCTATGGACAAACCCTCACTGTGTCGCCATTTGCTGGCAAGGCGGACTTCTGCCCACCAGACCCTGCCTCCCTGTATGTCATCGTCATGAGTGGCATGCCCCTCCACTGCAGTGTGGCCAATGGTTACCGGATGCTAGAAGCCCTCTACCCCTACAACTGGGAGGTAAGACCCTAAAACAACACCTACCCTCTCCACCCAGCCCTCTACCCCTCCACCCAGCCCTCTACCCCTCCACCCAGCCCTCTACTCCTACCCTCATCCCCTAGACCTTAAAACAACCCCCTCCCCATAGATCTGAAAACATTGACATGAAGTCGTAATTTCCTCAATCAAAGTTTGTACCGACAGATGTAGCCTATTGAATAGCCTATCATTACAGGGCTCGCCAACCCTATTCCTGGAGAGCTACCATCCTGTAGGGTTTCACTCCAACCCCAGTTGTAACTAACCTGATTCATCTTATAAACCAGCTAATTATTAGAATCAGGTTAGCTATTAGGGTTGGAATGAAAACCTACAGGATGGTAGCGCTCTATGAACAGGGTTGGAGAGCCCTATTATAGAATATGCATAAAATGCATTCTCCAATTGCAACGTCTGCTTATGCCCACCAATAGCAGTGCGTGGGTAAAATCACTGGGGAAGCTAAGCCCCCCAGAAAAACATATTACAACCTATGTCTTGTGATAATTAAGTTGTTTGCTGTTAGTTCATATGCCTTGCAACCTTGATATATAGGCCAAAGGCCGAGACAATAAAAAGACAGTGGCAGAAGAAATTCAACCACACCTTTGTTTAATCACAAAACCGGATAGCAACCTCTGTCCAGTAAAGTCCACAAAGCATATTGCATTTACAGTAACAGACAGTTACATGACCTACAGCATGGTCAAGCAAGTTAATGTTTCCGACATTTTCAGACCACTAAACAACTGTTGATTTAGAACGATGGAGAGTTACCGCAAGTCGCAAAGAAAACAGGAGCTGCCTCCACTATTACAGCACCATTTCAACTTCAACATTTCAACATCATCAAATCACCTATGCTCTGTCTAATACAGTGACAACTAAAAGATACCAAAAACAATTTAGTCCAATCAACGTAAGCTAAATATGATGTGGCTGTGTATGGTTCTGATTTCTCTGTGTGTGTAAGCGAGCATTCGTGCAAGTAGAAAAAAAAATGTTGACTCACCCTACTTGTAGAGAAACGCCAATGTCCTCCTCTCTTTCATGTTGATGAAACTGTCTATGACAGTAGATGATACAGTAGATGATTTCTTTTTTTTGTCCTAGGCTACCTAGCGAAAATGCTTGATCGCTAGCCTAACTTCCTTTCATGGGCAACGATGAGCCAGCTAGCTAACATTAGCCTTTTACGTCTAGCTACATATTGAACTTCCATCCTCTCAGGCCAGGGGCACAATGTATGAATTTATGATTGGATAAGAATTGCCGTTATAATCATTGGCCAGCATGGAGAACTAAGTAAAACCACAAGTCCAAATCCCTATCTCCATCCATGGCTAATTTAGGAAAAGGGAGAGAATTTGAGCTAGCTAGACACCGGGGGACAACAAGATGCAACAATTCAAGTTATTTCTGTCAATTACGTTTTGCTCTTGATTAGATTTGATTGGAGTGAAGCCAAATCCAAACTGGCTTCCCTTGATACTTTTTTGGGTGAGCCAGGACCATTCACAGTTGAGCTCACTCAGTTTAGCTCAACGCTGATTGGCTATTATTTTCTTTAAAAAATTATCAAGGGAAGTCAAATGCTGGCTGGCTTCCCTTGCATTCAATGCTACGGGCGGCAACAGTGTCATACTCTTTTTGACCAGACAGCATCAGATAGATAGCCTACACATACAGAGACAGGGGGGTGCTGTTTCGCTCGTTCGGATGCTTTCTCCAGTGAGATACATTCAGCCTCTTGCGAATTGAAGGAAAATTATGAACCACAAAGATACTTTTTTAAATTTTCTTAATAGTAAATTTTTTGGGGAAGCCTGGCTTCCCTTGGCAACCATGAATACACGTCACTGATGCCCAAACATATTGTCTCAAGAAAATGTTTTACTTTTAATACCCCCAAACATCAAGTTAGGCATACCTAATTTCAAAATTGGCCATCATCACTGTCAATTTAATTATAATATTATTCACATTTTACCGGTGAAACTGCATCTGCTAGCCAATCATTTGATTGTTCTCAATCAGTTTCATGTAAATAGCCTATGCATTTCGAACTTCTTGAAATACTATTTAGTGAGCCAAGTAGAGCAGATGGTGTTAACAACTATTAGCCTTTCATAGGCTATATCCTGCCTAGTGGCTCTGGTGACTTTTGGTGCATAACAAAACAAATCTGACTCTTCAGCTAACCATCCTAAAATGTCATTAGACATTAGGTGTTTTTGGTTTAACAGTAACATTATAGACCTATTATGCTATGCTATTATATTCAGTTCAGTTCTGTTATGTAAAATACTTATAAATCATTATGTGATCTTGATTCAGCTTTGATCTAACTTTACTACCCTATTACAGAATAAAATAAAACAGAGAGGTGAACTATCAATTCGTAAAATGTATTTGCATAGATTTAATCTTCAAATCAATTGACCAAGTAGTGGACATTAATCATTGATTTGCAGGAAATTCATTTAAAAACAGCCATAAAATCAAGCTTTTGGTGTGGTGTATTCATGCATCTCAATAAACTATAACCTAAATGCATTATTACCTACAACTTTGCCCAATTCACATTTACAATTTCCCACCCTGACATACCAAGCTAGAACGGGCCCCGCATCTCAACCAAGAGCCAATATAAACTAAATATCCCAAGCAGGGCTACAGCAACTTCCAGAGAGGGTCAGGCTCCTTGGGCTTTGCGGTGCTACAGTTCTTCATCATTCTCCGGAGAATAGACTGGGAAGCCCTACCTGTTTAGCATATTATTTTGGCATTAATTCATGTTACATATCAGTTTGCAAACGATGTAAAAAAAAAAAAAAAAGATCCTTGAGTTAATAAAGCCACATACAAAGTTGGTCTCTTGAGTAAGGCAGCTCCATAATGCAGGTGTTTCAGCCTAGCTCAGTGCTTTCTGTGGTGGAGGGGCTGCCAGCGAAAGCACAGAGTGTAGGCATTGGACATTTTCTGCTGTTCTGTCATGATTGGCTCAGTGTTCTGTCACTCATGGGCAGTGGCGATTTTGGCATGTACATATTGGGCTGTAGCTACCCATACTTGCTCTGCGCTCCTGCAGCACTGCCCACTACACCCCTGAAAATACGATTTCTGATCCATGTCTGAGTTTTCAGCACATGCTCAATAATTTGAAAATGAAATCCATATTTTTCTTTCATGCACAAATACTTTTTCGATTCCCTCCAGGTATCATACTTGGTATGGGCTGATATTGACTCACTAGATATCCTGAGATAGGCTTATGTGGACATCTTACTGTCTCAATATGAGACAAATACTGACGGTAGGCCTACATAATATATTTTCAGTAACAAAGCATTATGCTCTTGACTGAGGTCCATATCAGGATCTTGATATGCTAAATAATGACCATTTCTAATGCTTATTTTACACCCCCCAAAAAAAATCTATTCTAAAGTGTGTTGGTCCCATCTCTCATGAGCTGAAATAAAATATCCCTGAAAATGTTCCATACTGTCACAATCGTTGAGAGACGGGTCGGACCAAGGTGCAGCGTGAAAAGCGTACATGTTTATTAACTCAATAAACAAACAACAAAACAAGAAACAACGTAACGTGAAGACCTCAGGCTATACACATACAAGCCTAAACGGAACAAGATCCCACAACTAAGGTAGGCAACCAGACTACCTAAGTATGATCCCCAATCAGAGACAACGAGCGACAGCTGCCTCTGATTGGGAATCACACCCGGCCAAACATAGAAACACAACCTAGATCTACCACATAGAAATACACTAACAAGATCTCCAACAGAAAACTCACACCCTGACCCAACCAACGAGAGTTCTCACGATCAGGGCGTGACAGTACCCCCCCCCCCCAAAGGTGCATACTCCGGCCGCACCAACCTGACTCATTAGGGGAGGGTCCGGGTGGGCCTTCGTCCTCGGAGGCGGATCCGGCTCCGGGCGTGACGACCTCTCCCTCTCTGCCTCCCCGTTGCGCCCCTGGTCTGGTCTGGACCTCGGCGCGATGCTTCCCCTCTCCTTCCTCCCACAATGCACCAAGCCCTGTCTGGACCCTGGTGTGGGAGACCCTGAACCTGGAGAGGGGCTGACGTCTGGGCCTGGATCGGCAATCCTCCCACGATGCACCAAGCCCTGTCTGGACCCTGTTGTGGAAGGACCCGACCCTGGAGAGCGGCTGACGTCTGGGCCTGGAGTAGAGCTGCTGACCGGAGCTGAACTGGACCCCGGTGGAGCGAATTGCTCTGGCTCCGGAGTGGAGCCGCTGACCAGAGCTGAACTGGACCCCGGTGGAGCGGACTGCTCTGGCTCCGGAGTGGAGCCCGCTGACCTGAGCTGGACTGGGCACCGGTGGAGCGGACAGATCCGGCTCCGGAGTGGAGCCGCTGACCGGAGCTGGACTTGGCACCGGTGGAGCGGACTGCTCTAACTCCGGAGTGGAGCTGCTGACCGGAGCTGGACCAGGCACCGGTGGAACGGGCCGGGCCGGACTGGGGACACGCACCACTGGTCTGGTGCGAGGAGCAGGAACGGGCCGGGCCAGACTGGAGACACGCACCACAGGTTTGGTGCGAGGAGCAGGTACGGGGTGTACCGGGCTGGCGACACGCACCACTGGTTTGGTGCGAGGAGCAGGTACGGGCCGTACTGGACTGGATACACGCACCACTGGTTTGGTGCGGGGAGCAGGTACCGGGCTGGCGACACGCACCACTGGTTTGGTGCAGGGAGCAGATACGGGGCGTACCGGGCTGGCGACATGCACCACAGGTTTGGTGCGGGGAGCAGGTACGGGCCGTACTGGACTGGATACGCGCACCACTGGTTTGGTGCGGGGAGCAGGTACGGGGCTTACCGGGCTGGCGACATGCACCACTGGTTTGGTGCGGGGAGCAGGTACGGGTCGTACTGGACTGGATACACGCACTGGAGGTCTGGAGCTTAGAGCTGGCACAA